TCAGAGCCGGTATCCTGCCATCCTACTCCACACCGTCACGTGCCTACTCCGCCCCAGTCCAAGTAAGTAGAAATTCATGTAAATAATATATTATGAGTAAATATTAATGTTAATACTATTGCGTTACGATAGAGTATGGCTGCACCGATAGACCCCAGGCAAATCGAGGAGGATCGTAGGGCTATGGCCGCGTTTGTAAACATGCGTGTTCACACATTCTCCGGTCGCCGTCAACCGTACCTATTAATGGAGTGGATCAACGTTATAGAGATAGCATATGACGTTTGTCACATTCCTGAGCGGATGAGGGTCCGATTGGCCGCCTCAAAGTTAGAAGGACACGCTCTCGCCTGGTGGCTCGGGATGGGAGCTGAACACCAACCCCCTAGTTGGGGAGAGTTTAAGCAGGAAATCAGAGCCGAGTATGGGCCGATATTGTATGGTGCTATTGAAGTTCATGCTCCGGGAGTGCAGAGAGATCCTCACATCTGGGAGGATATGCAGAGAAGACAATATGAGGCTTTAGAAGCCATCTGGGATTCTTATGAGGGAGAGTCCATGGCTCATTACTGCCAGCGTTTCCGGGACTCCATGCTGCCCATCATACCTACCCAGATCCTGTTTTCAGAGGTCAGAGATTTGATCTGGAGGGGGGTACCCCAGGACGTCCGGGACTTAGTTCCTTACCCTGGACAATACTATCACATCCAGCAGTTCTTGGAGGAAATAATGAATGGTGAGGAGGAGCTACACCATGTCCAACAACAACTCCAGGCCAATGCCGCAGCAGCAGCAGTCGTAGCCCAGCCGGAGCAGGACGCAGCACCGGGATATCATGCAGATAACGATGAAGACGATAATGAGCCAATAGACTACATGTCTGAGGACTATGATGATGAAGTACCAGAGCATGTCATCATCGCGAGCGATGATGAGTATACAGAGGAGGAGGATCCCTCGGAAGATGAGATGTTCGGCGATGAGGGGTTCTCAGATGGAGACGCGGAGCCTGAGTCTGGATTATCATCTGACTGATGGCGTCACCTGCAGCATATCTTACCTTTTGTATAGGATACTTTTTGTATTGTGAGAAGTGGTAGCCACTCTCACCTAGGTTGGGTTAAAAAAAAATTATTATTTATTTATTTATGTACAGTGAGAAGTGATAGACACTCTCCGTAGGCGTTACATGACATTTTGTACTGTGAGAAGTGATAACCACTCTCACC